TGGGTATGGAGACAATGAGAGAGAGAGAGAGAGAGAGACACTGCTGCATTCTTAGCTGAAGGCTAGGGAAGTAAGATGTTGGCCTTCAGTCAAGGGAGGCTGGGAGTAGCAGATGACAAAAGTGACCTGGGCTGGGCTGGCAACCTGTCCCAGAAGCTGCCTGTGTTGACCCTGACCTTGGCTTTGCAGGTGGCTTGCTACAGCTGCACATCTCGGCAGTGGTCAACAGTCTGCCCACTTCCAGCTGGGCATGGTGAACCTGGTATTGCTGTACTAGACAACAGGATATATGTGTTGGGTGGCCGTTCTCACAACCGAGGCAGCCGTACAGGCTATGTGCACATCTACGACATAGAGAAAGACTGCTGGGAAGAAGGGCCTCAGCTGAACAATTCCATCTCAGGCCTTGCAGCCTGTGTGCTCACCCTGCCCCGCTCCCTGCTCTGTGAGCCATCCCGAGAGACCCCCAGCCGTAGCCAGACAGATGCAGACTTTGCTTCTGAAGTGATGAGCGTGTCGGACTGGGAGGAGTTTGACAACTCTAGTGAGGACTAGGGATCTAATGCCTAGTGTTTGGGAGGGGGTAACTGGGACAGTAAAGGCCATAGGGCCTGGGTTAAAATACCAGGCTCCAGAGTAGGGCCCTTCCCAAGCCCTCCTGGTTCACCAGCTGCCCTTTTCCGCTCTGTTTCTTCAACCAGCCTGCTACCAGCATTTGCAAACTCTCTGGCTGTGAATTATATTACAAGGAAAAGTTCTTCAGAAAGGCTGCTATCATCTGAGGGAATGATCAGGTCCATCCTCTGTGAACTCTGAAGGGCTGGTATCTCTATTTGGCCTCTTCATCCCCTTAGTCTTGTTTCTGATGGGTTAAGTAAGGTCCCTCCTGCAAGAGGTCCTGGGGGCTAGCAGTTGTAGCCATGGCCAAACTCATGAGTCCCCTTTTCCTGTGATCCACATGGTCTGGGGAGCAGCTCCAGCTGCCTGCAGCCAGGGCCTTGAGCAGCTAGCAAGCTCTCAAGAGACAGGAAATCATATACCCAGAACTGGTCCTAGGGATGAGGACATGCCCCCATAGCTGTGTGTTTCTGACCCAATATTGTTGAAAATGAAATAAAACATTATGCAAAAAGTGTTGTGTCTTCTGTGGCCACAGTCTGGGTTTCTTTCCTCCCCAGTCAGTGCATCTCTGAGTGGCATCCAGAGAGGCACAGTTTTTAAGTCAGCGGGAGATGGGCTTGGAACTGATAGATCGCGAAGTCACTACCCTGCTTCAGACATATGATGAACCCCAATCTGAAAGAATGTTGACCACTGAGATCAGGACTTGCCCCAACAGAGGTGGCAAGTAGCTGCCTTTCTCCTAGTCAGGACATCTAGGATGTCTGCCCTGTGGCTCACCAGCTCTAGTTGCCCTATATACAACTCTAGTTCCCGGGCAGCCTGCCTCTGGCTGGTGCAGACTGGCTGTGGTGCTGAAGGGGTAACCTAATCTCATCCTTCTTGAAAAGCCCAGGATGATTCAGTTCACTGGATTCTTAAAGTAGAAAGCTCTGAGGGCTGGGGTGCCACTCAAGGCTGGAGCGCTTGCCTAGAATATGGTTCATTGCTGAAAATGGAAAGGTAGTGTGGGACAGAACAATAATGTCCTGATCTGTCAGGACATAGACCTAAGGTACAAGACGAGGGGTGGCACAGGCCCAATTGAGGGTGCCTATATAGGCCTTTCCCACCTGACTTGCCAAAAGCTTGTCAGATGACCCTTGGGTAAAATCATCTTGGAGGCTGCATTAGCATAGCAGGTGAGAGTTATACCCACCTTTACCAGAACCTCCTACCCCTTTGGGAGCTGTCCAGCATGGCCTATCTATGCCCAGCATGGATGCACTCGGGTAAACATCAGGCTTGCTTCCAGAACACCTTGCTGCTGTTTGTACAAGGTCTTCAATTGCAGATTCCTATCACAGGCCACAGGCCTCCTGCCCATAATGACCAGCTGGGTAGAGGGAACACCCAGTCTTCCCACCACTGCCCTTTCAAGGAAGGGGAGAATACAGAGGGGGTTGTGGTGGAGGGATGAGCTAAGAAAGGGTAGTCGGTCACTCTGGACCCCTGAAGGCAGTGGGTTGGAGACCTGGAGTTGGTATCTCCCAGCAAGCTGCACCTGTAACCTTACTATCTTAGGATCTTGGGCCCTTAGAGAAGCATAATATCACACAGATACCTCTGGGTGACAAACTCCCACTCAAATGTTGACACCTGCATGAAGAGAACCGTTTCCTCTGGTGTCATCTCTCCAGTTTTAAGTAGGAACATTGTTTAGCAGGTGTCAGTAATTTGTGCATCAATCTCCTAACACTATTGTCACCCAAGCCAGTGTGACCAAGGTTTACAGAGGGATCTGGTTGCCCAAAGGGTAGGGGGAGCCCTCTGAACTCATATGGGTCTTTCTGGCCATATATTCTGGCTCTGTCTGCATTGCACTCTCAAGATAAGAGCTATCTTTGGCTTCACTTCAGTCTATGTCCCCTGCCTGCAAACACAGGAGGGTGTGGTCTCTGATGTCCCCCAGCCCGATGTCACCACTCCCAACCTCAAACTGAACCAATGTAAACCTCTTTCCCTTTTTATTTTTAATCTCATTTGTTTATTTTTTGAGACAGTATCTGTGTGTATACACCCTGGGTGTATTAGAACTTGGTATGTAGGTAGAAGAGGATGGCCTCAAACTCATAAAGGCCCTGTCTCCCAAGTGCTGAGATTCAAGGCATGCCACCACCAACACCCAGATAAAGTTTTCTTTTAGTTGCTTTTGTTAACGTATTTTGTCACAGCTACAGAGAAAGTAAGACAACATCGAAAGTCATCATCCACAATCGTCTCAAGAGTTAGACCTCCAAGGCTAAGATGTGGGCCAGGTACCCAGGCAGGAGCCCACCCTGGCTTAGAAAGGTGACATGCAAGTTGTGCCTTCACAGACTTCAAGCTTGGGGATTGGTTCATGGGAGAGTGTAAGTTGATACCATTGCAACTTGGCCCAGCCCAGGTTTCCCCTCAGGTCCAGTGAGGTCAGTATAAACCCTGGAGTGAATCTTGCAACTAGAGGAACCTCTGCCAGTGGCAGCCATGGGAGCTTCCTTGGGGAGGGCACCGCTTAGGATAAGGCTCAGGCTCAGCTTCCCAGAAGTGGTTGGCTTATTGACTTGGGCTGAGAAGTGTTTACATTTGTGACCACATGGGGAGACTTCCTTTTAACCTCCTCACCACCTCCCTGCACCACCTGCCTAGCCAGGCTGAGGGCTGAGTAGACCTGAGGTCCCTCACCCCACCCCCAGCCTGCTAACGCCTATGGCCTTGGCCAGTCTATTACTCTGATTCCCTTTCTACACCTGCCCCTGATACTCAAGGTGCCTTCTGCTTGCTACCCAAGAGGATATTGTCTGATTGACCCCTCAAGCAGAAAGACAAACTCCTCCTTGATGGGACCTGGCTGCCAATGAGGTGCAACCTGCCTCCTGAGCTCTTCTGCTTTGTCTTTTTGGACCTGTCCAGCTCCAACCCTCTCCTCTCTGACCTGGGTTGTGGTATTGTGTTCTGCTATCCCTGGGTGAAGCCAGTGATTCAAGGTAGAGATGAAACTAGAGCTTTGCTGATAGCATTAAAGTGCCAACAGAGGGATCCTGTCCTAAGTCTCTGCCTTGCCTAGGGGTATCATTGCTAAGTGGGAGACTTGGGAGGCTAGCCTTAGTCATGGCCAAGTTGGCACTAGGATGGTCACTGATTCTTCAACTCCTTTTACAGGTGTGCTGATGTCATACTAAGGTCATTGGAGGTTCCTGGTGACAAGAGTCTCAGATACTTCTTCCCCTTACCTGATAGAGCCTGAAAAGCAGGTTTGGTAGAGACAGCTCAATCTACTTAGTAGCCTCCCTGTGGCCCTGCTTGTCCTGATGTAAGAGGGGTCTCTGGAAAAAGGTCCTGGTAGCTGGAAGCCAAGTAATCCCATGAAGTCACCATAAACATACAGCCCTGCTCCAGGGAAAGGTTTCCCCAGTGTAACAACGGCTCAGGCAGGGGAGGGCTTTCCCAGCGAAGTTGTTACAGTTTTGCTCTGCTCTATTCTAGCCAAAGAAAGTCTCACCAAAACCTCTTTCAAGAGATTTATTGAGAGGGAAGAACCCAGGAGGGTGCCTGCCTCTGCTAGGGTAGAAGAAGACAGCAGCAAACAGACCTAGGGCTTATATAGGGCTTCTTAAGAGGCGGAGTTTTCCCAGGATGGGAATTGGTCAGATTTCAAACCCTAAACTTGGACAAGCTCAGAGATTGGCTAGATTTTATGCTCAGGGATTGGTTGGGTTTTTACTGAGTTAGTCAGGAGCAGAGTGTTTCTTTGGCTCTGTGTTTCACAGACTTTGGGTTCAGGGCCATGGTGTGTTTCTTTGGCTGGCCCTTTTACCCTACAGTCTCCATTCTTAAGTCTTGATTCCACTTTTCCCTCTTGGGAGCCTGTAGCCTTCTTGAACTGAATTCATGTCCTGGGCACCCCAGTTCCTCTCTACCCCTTACTGGACTTCTGGGTTTCAGTTTCCATCTCCAGTGTCCCCCTTCCCTGTCTTTGCCTCCACATCATATCAGACACCTTGGCTGATTCCTTTGCTCCCACCTCTCCAGTATTTTCTGCAGTGAGCTCTTTTCCGTGCATTTCCACGGATCTTTGCCTATATCTTGTTTAGTCTCTTGCGTGCTGCAGGAGATGTTGATCACACACCACAGGACAACTGGAGGTTCTTGGCCTGAGGCCAGTGTGTGCCCCAGGGACTTTGCTGGGGCCCCTCATTCCGGGCCCTGGCGGGGAGGGGCACGGAGCAGGACTCCTTCGTGGACTCCCGCAGCTCTTTCCTCTCAAAGCGCTGCACGGCCCTCACCAAGTTCGCCCGGAGTTCGTGCGTGGCCAGGTGGGGGCGGGGGCCAAGCAAAGGGGCGGAGGCGCGGCCGGAGGGTGGGGTCTGGTGCGCAGGGCGGGCGCTGCCGCCTGGCCGGCCGCGCTGGCCCAGGATCAGGGAGCCGATGTGGAATTTCCTGCCCGGCCCGGCGCCCCTCCTGCCGCCCCCCGCCCGGCCTCGCACTCCGCTTCCGGCCGCCCTTGCTGTGGCCGCACCCGCGCCCGCGCCCACCCGCGCCTGACCCGCGCCTCATGGAGGGCGCAGGGTCCCGGGGGGCCGGGCCGGCGCGGTGCCAGGGAGCCCGAGGGCCGCCGCCGCCACTGTTGCTGCTCTGGCTGCTGCCTGCTCTCGCGTCGCCCCAGGAGTTGAACCCTCGAGGCCGCAACGTGTGCCGCGCGCCCGGGTAGGAGCTGGGCCTGTCCGAGGCGTGGGGCGCGAAGAGGGCTGGGGGTAGTGGCGCCCCGTTTCGGTCCGGGATATCCAGGACCTGGCTAAACTGGTAACACGAGCTCCTCGGGCCTCCCCTCGCGACTTGGGCTTGGTTCCAGGCCGAGCCTGGGCCTCGGGGTGCATCAGAGGGCCAACTGGACCAGAAATTACCTGAGGGGATAACGGAGTGCAATGGCCCCCCAGAAGTTGTACTATGTGGTGTCCAGAAATGTCAGGAAAGACCAGAAAAGAGTTACTCTCAAAGCCAAGGAAGGGCATTCCGAGGGAGGGAAGAGCATATGCACAGGCTCCAGGAGTCAGTGACTCACCCACGGGGTGAGAATTGCGAAGGGGCAACCCTCGGGTGAGCTGGGCACTGGGAAAGTCTTGAGACTTGGAAGGACGGGGTGGGAGGAGGATGGTGGTGGAAATGAGCACGAAAAAGCCAGTGCTCACGTTGGACCAGAAACAAGAGTGCTGAGGACAATGATGGACGCGCGATGGGGAGGACGTGGAAACAGAAGGACACTGGGTGGGCGGAGGTGGGTGTCTAAGCGGATCTTGCTGGGGAAGCTGGTGTGGGACAGGCCCAGGCAGAAGGCGATGGAGCCCGGAGGGTGAAGAACTCCTCGGAGTAGGTGCAGAACCCCCGGGACCTGTCCAATGGTCCGATACACGACACACTCAAGTCATCTCTGCGTAGAGGCAAAGAACCCGCGGTGGGGCGCCTCTGCGGACGCTGGGGAGACTGTTTTGGCACTCCAGGCTGGGGCCCCCGGAGGCACCTGGGTCCAAGAACTCCCTCCCCCCGCCCCGAGGTGCGAACCTTCAGCCAGTGTTTCGTAGGGCTAAAGTAGACAAGGGGCTTCTAGCTAACCGCGCGGTTTCCGAAATCGGTTCGAGATGCCGCAGACCACTCCCGGCAGTGAGCCCCGCCTCGGAGGCGGGGGCCCGCCTGGCTAGCCATCTGCTTCGCATCGCCGCTGCCGCCTGGTCCCGGGCCTCCCCGGCCCCAGGAATGCAGCGACAAGGCAGGCGGGGCGGTGCCTGGGGAGGGCGGTCAGACCGCACCAGACCTTCTCTGGCTGGCCAAGGGATGGGGCTCGGGTGGTGGATCAAGCTGGAGTGGGGGAGCCCTTGACCTCCAAACTTTCCTAACTACGGACCTCGGCAGGAGGTCTCTGTAACCCACAGCCGCGAAGCATTTGCCTTCTTACCCTGGCAGCAGACTATCCTGGCTGTCTGGATCTGAACAAATACTTGCATTTTCTGGATCTGTCTCCATCTCTATAAAATGGGGTTGGAAGGGCCTGAGCTCCTGGGTGCTGGAGGTGGGGGTAGATTGCCATGACAGTGTGTGGAGCGTTTGTGGGAAGAACAGTTTCTGGACTGTGCCCACCAGAGGTCTGGGCCATCCTTGTGGTTACGATGAATGAGGTCCAGAAGGGAAAGGAGCGAGCTCAACCAGCACATCATGCTGTACAGCTTACGGGGCCTTTTAGTGCAAGGATTCTGCTGCAGAGACCAGTTCCCTGGCCAGCAAGTGGTTATTTGAGTTAGCATAATTAGGGGAGACCTGCCATGATGAGCAGGAGAGAAGGAGGCAGGGTATTTGGGACACATCTCACCCAATACCCCTTCCCCTTCTAGAAGGTTCCTTGGAAGCTCTGCATCTGCCGGGCACGGGGGGGGGGGGGGCCGGGAGGCATGTGTGTTGAAGATATACCAAGCACACAAGAGGTTTGTCAAGTGCTTTGAGAATGAGACTGTGAGGCACCAGGGCAGATGGGCTACCTGGGGGGTGAAAGGTGGCTCTCTGGAGGCCAGAGGCCAACTTCGATAGAATCTGGAGAGGAATGAGGCTTATTTCTCAGTAGATCTGGTGTGGGCATGGTCTCAGCTTCCCAGCATGGAAGAGGCAGGGGTGACCTGAGAAGGAAGAGACAGAGGACAGGGGAGATTGTTTTTTTTTTTTTTTTGACACCCCTGAGCTCTCTAGGTTGTCATGTCATCCAGTGGGCAGTTGCATTAACAAGACAGGGGGCAGGCCACACTGGAGCAGGTCTCTTGGCATGACTCTTACCTGACTTGGTGGGGCCTGGTGGAGCTCCCTGGAGAAGCTACCATGGATAGGACACAGAAGAGCCCTGTCTGTAGGCAAGAGGAGAGCCAGACATGGGAACCCAGAGAACCAAAACCGGGTAGGGACAGAAGCTTTCTTGGTTGGATCTGTGAATGACCAGGGACAGACATACTAATGAGTGACCTCTAAGGTGGGGAAATGAGCTAGTTGCCACACAGCTGTGATAGTGGCCTCCATAGCATCAACCTGTAGCACCACACACTGGCTCCAGGAGCAAGTACTTGGCTTTGTAAGCTATTGGATGAGTTCACCAGGCCATCCTTGTCTGCAGTGATGATCCTAGACTTGTTCTTCGTGAACCCAGATGGGCTTTGGCTCTGCTGAGTGTTGCCAGCTGTGTGCAAGTCTTCCTGTGACCTGCTCCCATTACTGTGAATCGTCCTGTGCAGGCAAGGCACTTCTCTGAGCTGCAGGTTCTTTAGCTAAAGAGTGGGACCTGAGGCTGCTGAGCTGTGGGTAAAGGAACATTGTGCCACCACCAAGCCTGATCTGAGTTCAATTGGTAGAAAACTGACCCCCACAAGTCATCCTCCACACACACACACAGTGATTTATTCACACACACACACACACATTGGGGGGAGGGGGAGGATAAACGGTTGTCCGTTTTAAAGAACAGGACCCATAGGTCTGGCAGGAAGAAAGAGCTAAGATATGCACAGTTTTCTGGTTACTGCAATCTGCTCTCCAACTTACTATAAACACAATTGAGTGTCCTAGACCCAGACTCCTGACTACAGAACCATACTAGGCCAGCCAAGAAAGACGGTGTTTCTGGGGTTCCTAGCAGGCCACTTGGTAACTGTGAAGGGGCACTGTCTGGACAGCCTGGTCTAGAACCAGGCAGAAGTGAGAGGAGATGGGGCTTATGAACTTGGGTCTCTCTGAGAAGGGGTCCTTGGCATCACTGGGGCAAAGTGGATGGGCTAATGGGGGCAGCAAAAACAGGTCTGTTTCATTTTTTTTCTGTGGGTTCCACTTTTATTTGTGGAAAATATGCAAAGCCTGTTCTCTTAGTTTTATGTCCTCTGTCCATCAGGCCCCAACTTTGATCTGAAGTAAAACAGAACTCTTTGGCTGGGCAGGGGGCTTTTTGAGGCAGCTGGATCCTATCTACAGTATGACCCTTACCCCAAAATGGTGGGGACATCGTGAAGCTTAATCCACAAGCCCCAGAGGAAGCACACTCATTTTCTGTAAAATGTAAACTAATGCTACATTTCAGTAGGACTGGGGCAAAAATCTGGATTTGTGAGATTCTGGGAAGCTGTGGTTTCAGTGATTGTCCCTTTTACCTTAATGGGGACACCTAAACTCAACTCTGAGGCATCCTCCCTGTTTCCCTGACAGAGCCTTCACACCCAAGGCCTCTCCAGGCTGTGCCACCCTGAAATGCTGCACTCAGACATTTGGCCTCTGGAGTGTAACTCAAGGTTTCATCTCCACAGAGTCCCCTGGAAAACTGACATAGTGTGTACTTTGTAAGGTCAAATAACTCGAGTAAAACATTAAATGCAAGTAGATACTCCAGCCCTTCTGCTTCTGGAAGCACTGGGCCTCAGTTTACTTTGACTTTCATGTATGGTTCCCCTGGCCTACAGCAAGGTGGCTTCTGAAGGAACTCTGCAGGGGTCTACACTTGGCTCCACCCCCCTCCACAGATACTTCTCCACCCTGAGTTTTAGCCTCATGTGCCCTCGAGCCCATCTGGCAGTGGTGTCATTACGGTCATGTCACATGCCATATTTGGATCCCTAACATCTGTCTGGCTAGGCCCCTAACCCTCAGCAACGTGTCAGATCTTCAAAGGATGGTGAGAGGGAGGTGGCTCCCTACTCCTACTCTGTATTCACTACAGCCCCTTCTTGGCCTCGCTGCTTCCCAATGGGATGGTGGAGTCCCTGTAGATGGCATTTCTTAAGATGAGATTTGGGGGGCTTGCTCTTTGCCCCTTTGGTATGCACTTTCTGGCGGCTGAGATGTGTTATTCCCCTGCTTACCACTGTCTGGCAAGCATCAGGCTTAGATATCCAACCACCTTCCCAAGGCAGGACACCCTGAAGGCTGGGGAAGGAGTATAGAGGGAAGGGCATCAGGCTCAGATGTCCCTCCTCTGCTTGAAGTTCCCAGGTGCTCACGTGCTGCGCTGGCTGGAAGCAGTTGGGGGATGAGTGTGGGATTGGTGAGTGGGGCTTTGTGGGGTCCTGGGCAGGTGGGTACAGGGTGGAGGTTTGAAAGAGCGCATAAGACAGCTCAGCCTTTCTTGTTTGCAGCGGTATGCGAAGGCAATTCTACATGCTCAGAAAACGAGGTGTGCGTGCGGCCAGGCGAGTGCCGCTGCCGACATGGCTACTTCGGTGCCAACTGCGACACTAGTGAGCGCGGGGCGAGGTGGGGTTGTGTATTGGGCAGCTTGGCGAGAAACTAGGGAAATTAGGCAGGGAGGCAGATTGGGATAGGTTGGCTTTGGGAGCTGACTATGGTGGAGCTGAGGGTGAGGTGTATGCAGGCTAACAACTCAACCTACCCCCCTGGTTCTTGCAGAGTGCCCACGCCAGTTCTGGGGGCCAGACTGCAAGGAGAGGTGCAGTTGCCACCCGCACGGACAGTGCGAGGACGTGACCGGACAGTGTACGTGTCACGCGCGCCGCTGGGGTGTGCGCTGCGAGCATGCGTGCCAGTGCCAGCATGGCACGTGCCACCCGCGGAGCGGCGCGTGCCGCTGCGAGCCGGGCTGGTGGGGTGCACAATGCGCTAGCGCGTGCTACTGCAGCACTACATCGCGATGCGATCCACAGACCGGCGCCTGCCTGTGCCACGCAGGCTGGTGGGGCCGCAGCTGCAACAACCAGTGTGCCTGCAACTCATCGCCCTGCGAGCAGCAAAGCGGCCGCTGCCAGTGTCGCGAGCACACGTTCGGCGCACGGTGCGATCGCTATTGCCAATGCTTTCACGGTCGGTGCCACCCGGTAGACGGCACGTGCGCCTGCGATCCGGGCTACCGGGGCAAGTATTGTCGCGAGCCATGCCCTGCTGGCTTCTATGGCCTGGGCTGTCGCCGTCGGTAAGCATGGGGGCCCGGTGGCGGGAAGGCTGAGGGGTGAAGCGGAGCTCCATCCAGCCCAGCTTCCTGACCCTTTCCTAGGTGTGGCCAGTGCAAGGGTCAGCAGCCGTGCACTGTAGCTGATGGCCGTTGTGTGACGTGCGAACCCGGCTGGAACGGAACCAAATGTGACCAACCCTGTGCCACCGGTTTCTATGGTGAGGGTTGTGGCCACCGCTGCCCGCCCTGCCGCGATGGGCACGCCTGCAACCATGTCACTGGCAAGTGTACACGCTGCAATGCGGGCTGGATCGGCGACCGGTGAGCAGCCCATGCCTGCTTCAGCCCAGACAAGCAGCTCCCTAGTCCTGGCTCCCATGTAGTCCCTCCCTGCACGGTGGGCTCTGTAGGCCTTGTGGCCTCTGGCTTGACATTTCAGCTCACACCTCCTCTCTTGATACTAAGGTGCGAGACCAAGTGCAGTAATGGCACTTACGGTGAGGACTGTGCCTTCGTGTGCTCTGACTGCGGCAGCGGCCACTGTGACTTCCAGTCTGGGCGCTGCCTTTGCAGCCCTGGTGTTCACGGACCTCAGTGAGTGGGAGGGAACCTGGAGAGGGATAGGGAATATGTACCTGACACTTAGACCTCAGGGGCTGGTGCTTCAGGAAGTGGCAGCAAGCACTTTGGGGCAGTATCTGATTTGAAGCTTGCTCTCAGACTGAAATCTGGCAAAGTGGCATCCTGATGTGACACAGATAGGTGTAGAGCCAGTCCGTGGTCTGGACTGGGATCTCCATTTTCCACTCACACAGTAGCCAGTCCCTGGTAACCACGCCTCATCCTTCAGACTCCCTCCCGCAGATAGCACACACATTTCCAAACTGGTTATCAAGTGAGTGCCCGCCCTCAGGTGAGGGTGAGCTTCAGCCTCTAGAGAATGGAGTCAGGAGCTTGGATAGGGCACCGGAGACCAGCCAGTAATGATGGCCGGTGCAGGGGAAGGAGGCGTTCTGGGGAGCCACCACGGCCCTACTTGACCCCAAAACTTTGCAGCTGTAATGTAACATGCCCTGCCGGGCTCCACGGCGTGGACTGCGCCCAGGCCTGCAGCTGTCACGAGGAATCATGCGACCCGGTCACCGGTGCCTGCCACCTGGGTGAGTGGGTGAAGAACGTCGGGCCAGGGAATGACGTGGGGTGCGTGATCCTGCGCTGAGCCGCTGCTCCCCACAGAGACCAATCAGCGCAAAGGTGTGATGGGCGCGGGCGCACTGCTCACGCTGCTCCTGGGCCTGCTTCTCTCGCTGCTCGGCTGCTGCTGCGCCTGCCGAGGCAAGGACCCGGCACGCCGGTGAGGCCCCAAACCCGCCCCGCCCCCCCCCCACCGCTTGGTTTAGATCGCTCAGTCTCGGCGACTGGGTGTGTTTCTTGAATATAGAACCCACCCCTGGGCAGGGCCCAACCCTCTCTTTCATCCGGCCCTCCCCTTTCTGTTCCCACCGAGATTGAACCGCCCCTCCCAGTCCCGCCCTGCCCCTTCGCTCAGGCCCCGCCCCCGCAGGGATCTCACGCTTGGAAGGAAGAAGGCACCTCAGCGCCTTTGCGGGAGCTTCAGCCGCATCAGCATGAAGCTTCCCCGAATCCCGCTTCGCAGACAGAAGCTACCCAAAGTCGTAGGTGAGAATGTAGGCTCTGGGACTCAGGGGTAACCCACTACAGGAGGTTTCTAAGAAACGATGTAAAGGGGTACAAGACTCAGTGTAGAAATGGGGGGCCCTTGAATTTCGATGTGTGTGGGAGTGGAGAGGTGCGACTGGAGGAAAGGAAGTGAGGATGTTTTTATGGGCGAGGCTGTAGGGGAAGGAAGGAGTGCAAGATGTGTGGGCAAATATTGGAGGGTATGCAGGAGGCATGGGAATCCATGATTGTGTGGCAGGTCACCTGATCCGTAGGTCTCTACCCTACATTGATATGCAGAGCTGCAGGGGAACTAGTGCACACATGTGTGTATAAGGTGAACCCCATGCTAAAGCACACCCAACAGTTTGGTTTCCAACAGTTACTGGAGTCCTTTTTGGAAAAGGGCAGGCTGGTCCCCTACAGTCTACAGCAGATGTTCAATGTTGATGGCACAAAAGTCGGTGGCCCCTTCCTTTAGGCGACTTGTTTCTGAAGATTGGTGGGACCATTCAGCCTCTTAGGAGGTAAAGGGGACAGCTGGACAGTGCTTTGGTTCGTTCTAGCAGAGGTATCAGGGCTGAGCCTGTGTGCGAAGGCTGCTGGGAAGCCGGAGCCCAGCAGCTGTCTTGCCTCTGCACATTTGGACTCTGAAGTACTCCAGGTTTCCCCAAGTCCACCAGGCAGAGTCCGGAGTTGGTGGGAGAGCCTGGGGAGGGGGGGGTTCCGGGCCACGTGTACTCGTCTCTGTGCTTCTTTACTCTTGTCTACTCTTCCAGATGACAGCATTTGGCTCACGTCTTTTCCTGCTTCTTTTATTTTTTTTTTTAACTATCTTTTAAAAGTATACTCATTTTATGTGTAAGGTGTTTTGCCTTCTTGTAGGTGTGCACCACTTGTGTACCTGGTGCCTGTGGAGGCCAGAAGAGGGCATCAGACCCTCTGGAACTGGAGTTACAGATGCTTATGAACTACCGGGAGGGTTTGGAGGAGCAGCCAGTGCTCTCAGTCACTTCTCCAGCCCGTTTCTTTTTCTTTCTTTCTTTTTGATTTTGAGTCAGGGTCTAATACCATAGGCCAGGCTGTGCTGGAACTCAGCTGTGTGCCTTAGGCTAGTGTCAAGCTCACAATGATCCTCTGTCCTCAGACTTTCCCATGCTGGGATTACAGCATGCACTACCATACCCAGCTTCTTTGTTCCTCTCTACTGGGTTTGCCTGCTACCCATTCTTCAGCCCCGACCTAATGTGACTCAGTTGAACTTCATGTCCAACCTGTAGCTTTCTGGAGGGGCTGGTCATGACCATTCCATTCACATTTAGCTAATTAAAGGCACAGATGGGGAAAAGGCAAGACCCTTGGCAACTGTGCCTCACTCCCTTTTTTTCAGTGGCCCATCATGACCTGGAGAACACACTCAACTGCAGTTTCCTGGAACCACCTTCAGGTCTGGAGCAGCCCTCACCATCATGGTCCTCAAGGGCTTCTTTCTCATCCTTTGACACCACAGATGAAGGCCCTGTGTACTGCGTGCCCCATGAGGGTGAGTTTGGCCCTGCATGGGCATCCCTCTGGCGCAGCAGAAGGCCTTGCTGTGCTGGAAGTGGAGACGTGAGAATCCGGCACTAAGGGGCCAAGATCTAGAAGTTGTTGGCCACAGGCCTGCAGCTACAAAGCTATCTCTTGTACCCAACCAATCATTCACTTCTGGGGCTGGACCCGGATAGGGAGTGGCAGAAGAGACAAAGTAGGTAGTCGGAAGGAACTGGCAAGTGACTATCCCCACATCAGAAATCTTACTTTTTAAAGTTAATGACTGGGGCCTCTGAGACTTGGGTGTGGTGGGGGGGGGCACGAAGTCTGAATCCTGAATCCTGAAAAAGTATTTATTCCTCATTCTCCAGCAGTCAGCCCACACCCTAGGGATTCCCACTAAGTTTGTGGTAATGCAATGGAAGCACCACACAAAGACAGCTGGGCCTCGGTAGAGGAGGGAGGGATCCACGCACTATTGGATATTGTGACTCCCTTGTCCTTCCCTTGTTAGAGGCGACTACTGAGAGCCGAGACCCGGAAGTTCCTGCCGCTCCGGCTGAGGTGCCTGCGGCGTCGCTAATGCCCATGAGCACCCCGGCGCCCGTGGAGGAGGCGGCGGCCCTCCCTGCATCTTCAGACAGCGAGCGCTCAGCGTCCAGCGTAGAGGGTCCCGGGGGAGCGCTGTACGCGCGTGTGACCCGGCGCGAGGCCCGGCCGGCCCGGTCCCGAGGTGAGGCTGGGGGCTTGTCATTGTCTCCGTCGCCAGAACGCAAGAAACCGCCGCCACCCGACCCTGCCACCAAACCTAAAGTGTCCTGGATCCACGGCAAGCAGGGCTCCGCGACTGCTGCCCCTTCACCGCCGCCCGCAGGCCGCATAGCTGCGCCGAGCCCTAGCGGGAAGAAACGGACCCCCAGCAACACGTCGGTGCAGTCCCCGGGCCTGACCGAGGAGATCCCCGCCCCGACCGCACCCTCGCCGCCCCGGGCCCGAGCGCGCGGCCGCGGCCCGGGTCTCTCGGAGTCCACGGACGCGGGTGGTCCCCCGCGCAGCGCGCCCGAGGCTGCCTCTATGCTGGCAGCGGAGCTGCGCGACAAGACTCGCAGCCTGGGCCGCGCCGAGGGGCCGCCGGGGCCGCGGGAGAAGCCGCCGCCGCCGCAGAAGGCTAAGCGCTCCGTGCTCCCGGCCTCGACGGCCCTCGCGTCCGCGGCGTTGGAGGCCATGGCGCCCGAGAAGGCAGCGGCCGGTACATCCGCGCCAGAGACCCCTCGGAAGAAGACCCCCATCCAGAAACCGCCGCGGAAGAAGAGCAGAGAGGCGGCGGGGGAGCTGGGCAGGGCGGGCGCGCCACCCGCAGCCTCCTAGGCTCTCAGCTGGCTACTCGCCCCGGCTAGCAGTGTTATGGAGCTTTTCTAGCAATCCGCGTCTGGCCATGGCTGGGAGAGCCTACAGACTTCTTAATGGCCAAGAGTGTGCTTGCCTGACGCCAGGAGCGCGGCTGCCTCTGTTGCCAGGGCCTGGTGCCTATGGCTGTAGGGTCTTTTTTCTTAAAGATAGCCAGAGGCTGCTTCCATTGACTGGGCTTCTGAGTGTCCGGTTGACCCTAACCTGGGGAGGAGAGCTGGTCTCTGCCCCTCAGGGGGCTCGGCGCATTTTGGCTTGTCCCTTCGCAACCCCGACATCAGCCCTGGTCCCTCAGCTATCAAGCTGGTTTTGATGGCCTGCCACCACCCCACAATTGTGGGACCCCCCCAAGGGGCGACTCTGGTGACCTTAAATGTATTTATAGGTCCCAGGCAGGGCTGCTCCCATCCCATCTGGGACCTCCAGAATGGGTTCCTCCTAGCAGGGCCAAACCAAAGCTCTTTTTAATAAAATGCTTCTCCCCACTTTCTGTGCTCTGATTACTTCTTGCCTGAGGTCATGGGCAAAGATGCCCATCTTATGGAACCTTGGAGTCCCCACTGTGGGTGTCCACGAACTATGAAAAACCCACCAATCCTGAGCTGTCACTTGGGAAGAAGGGTGGATGGATCCAGAGGACAGAACTGTTTCTGGTGAGACAGAGGTGGGGACAATGGGCAGCCAGGTCTCACAGTCTGCAACTGCACAGAGCCTGTGGTCTGCCTCAATGGGTGCCTTGTCCCCAATGGGAACCTTTCTACCCTGTCTCCATACGCTTCAAGAAATACAGCCTGCTGGGCCTTCTCTTGAACCATTTGTGTCTGTCCCCAGCTCATCCTAGTACCTTCATCTCCCCTGGCAGACTCCTACCTGGACTTTCTGAGCCTCGGACCTGTGCTCCTCCAGGGGTTCCACTGACCATTAGTTTTGGAAAGCTGTTTGGGTTCCTCTCATGGTCCTGCCTGTAGCAGACTCTTCCATCTCCCATCTTTTTTATTGTTGGGACAGGGTCACAGTATGACCTTGAACTTCTGCCTCAGCTTCCCAAGTACCAAGATTATAGGTGTGGCTTCTCCATGTTTTTGTTTTTTAATTTTAAAATATTTATTCGTTTAGGTATGCGTCTCCATGTATGTATGTGTACCATGTATATGCCTGGTGCCACAGAGGTCAAAAGAGGATGTAAGATCTTATGGGACTGGGTGCTGGGAATCAAATGTGGGTCCTTTGTAAGAGCAAACTATGCTCTTGGCTGCAGAGCCAGGTCTCCAGCACTTCCTCCCATCTCTTGATGCCCAGCTCAAAATCTGCCAGCATCTTCCTGCTTCACGTGTCTCCAATGCTGGCAGCTCAGGACCCTTGTTCCCTGGGCAGCTGACTACCACTTTGAAGTCAGTCTTGGTCCCACACCTGAATGGAAATGACATCCAGAGCAGCTGATGGACACAACGCCTCAGGCTGGCCTGACTGGGTAACTCATGATGGCAATCCCGCTGTCTCTGTGCCAGATGTCTTCCTTTGGCCAGCAAGGCACCCTTCCTGCTGTGGTCTTGTGGCTTGAATGGCACCAAGCCATACTAGCTGCTGGGGCTTCAGCTGGCCTCAGCATCAGCCAGAAGGGGGCAGAGGCCAGGGCAGGACAGTCAGTGTAGTGTGGGACACTTGGCAAACACCACTCTTGTCCACTTTGTGCCCCTAACAAGTCGTCCTGCCACAGTGGCCTTTCCCTTACTTCTCAGTTCCTTATTCTAGCCCTCAGTTCCCCTAGTCTGAACTCTTACGATCTGGACAGTGCAAGAATGTCTCAGTCCTGGCCTGGGGCTTCTTCCACTGTCAGGAAGCCTGGCCTGCAGGAACCTCTCTGTGGGCACATCCCAGAGCAAAGAGCCTTTCTTTCCTTCAGCCAGTCTTGCTGCCTGCACCCTCACCAAGAGTTCCCCTTAAATGTCTTTCACCAGCCGGTATTCCCCACCCCCTCTGGGCTTGCAGTAGTGCCAGCTCCCAGGGCAGGCGCCACAAAAGGGAACCACAACTGCTGGAACCTCTGTTGCCATGGGGATGGGGACCACAGAGCTCACATCTGGTAGTGATTGAGGAGGAAAAATTATGAGTCGTGGAAAACGCCATTTTTTTTATTTATTTTTTTTTTTAGCACAGAGCACAATGGAATGTCGGGACCGGAGAGGAGCCTGGGCTCCGTCTGGTTTCCAGCAGGATGCAGCACATATCACTCAGATAGGTTAGGCTGTGCCAGGCACCGCCCACATGCACACACACCAGCAGTTGTTTGTCTTGTGGCACAATACATTTGCCACTGTGCACAGAAATACTAACACACTCAATGCAACACACACACACACACACACACACACACACAAGTGTGTGTGACAAACCAGTGCATCCAAAGAAGGTGAAACATACTCATCAAGGCTCCAGAACTCCCTGAGACACACAGAGGCAACTAGACAGAAACAAACCTCCATGTCCAACACACACTGCAGCACTTCACATACACACCAAAGGACATATGCCCTGCCACACACACGTCCAGCCAGCCCACCGCAATGCAGAGGACTATTAGCCCTCAAAACACACAAAGCACAGGGACACTGCAAATCCAGTGGACATAGGAATGCAAGACATTCTGCAACATACACACTTCAGGCATGGTGAAAGAATTGGAGCATATCATATGAACACATGGGCTACCTGCCCCACAGAGACTGAATTCCTTGCAGCACACACACACAATTCATAATGTCATGAAAAAGAGGCCAGTGCTGACCTCACACACATAACCACCACACACAGAAACATAAGGCAAAAATTCAACACACCCACTAAACATGTACTCTGTAATATATACCATTGTACTAGACAGAATATCAACACATACTCAGGAGAGTACATGTAAACTTGCAACATATACACCACTGTCATTTGACAGAAACATCAAGGGACATTCCTCTGTCACCATCTACAGCCTCCATTAGTGGTACAGAGACACAGTGACGTAACCTGTAACATGTATATATTCTACCAAAGCTGCTGGATACTAAGACATTAACTACAACACACACACACACACACACCATTACCTGATATGTAGACACACAGAAAAGTACACTCAGTCCATGGGTAGACAGACACTTAGACCATCGATAGCATGGTCACACAGTTCCCAACACAGCCTGGTGGTGTTCATACCCCTGAAGCACACCCAGATGGGTCAAGACGGTTCTGGAAGTCATTTGAGTTCAGAGTACTGTGATCCAGAAAAACAGGAGGTACAGCACGTACAACATCTGGTCAATCTGCAGCATCACCCCTAACAAGCAACAACAAAAGCAAGGGGGGAGAGGGACAGAAAGGAGCTTTTTGGGGTAAGGAAATGGCCTCCCTATGTTTGAGAAGACTTAGGCCAAATCATAGACTTCTTAGGTACAGAGTCTTAGAACTTCTGTCTAGTTATGTGGCTGCTGGGAAGGGTACAGAGTGTCCTTGAGTACAGCACCCCTCCCCCAGGTGCTTGTTGCACATAGCAACATGGGAAATACTCCAGGGGTTTTCCCTTTTTCTTTTCAGGCAGTTTCTTGTAGCCCAGGCTGGCCTCAAACTAGCTTCATAAGCCTCTGATACCCTGTCCCCCGAGCTCTGTATGAATTACCATGTCTGAGATCTTACAGCACCATGCCTGATTCGTACAGTGCTGGGATCCAACTCAGGGCTTTGTTCATGCTAGGTAAGCACTCTACCAACCAAGCTATGTTCCTAACATCTCCAGTGGCTTTACAATTCTTTTTCTTTTCTTTTCTTTCCTTTTCTTTCTTTCTTTCTTTCTTCCTTTCTTTTTTGAAAATGGTAACACCTAATTAACCTCCCTGGGCAGTTCAAGCCACCAGGACACAGGTACCTCTCTTTAGCTCTTCTGCTGAAAAAACGTGGTTTTCATGATGACAGGCTGCTTATGGAGCTTTTCCTTCCCCCAGAACTTTGGAGTAGCCTGATTGCACAACATCAATGATGGGAGCAGCTCCAGTCTTGATCCTGGCAGCATTGACGTGGGTCTGCTAACTGACCAGTGTCCACAACTTATCCAGGTTGACAGTCAGGAAGAAGTTCTGGTTCCTCTTTAAGTGGTAATGCCTCATACCAACTTTCCCAAAATAACTTGGATGGTAGCATCCCCTTTTAAAGATGTTCCTTAAACACCAGCTGGATAAAAGCCAACCTAACTTCAAATCTGATGCAAGTCACTAACCTGGTGATTGGCTGCCAGGAAGTCCACAGCCAGTGAATGCAACCAGCAGTTATTCTTCAAGGACTCTAGCACACTAAGGCAACAACCAATAACTCAGTGTGACTCTAGCCTTGGAGGCTTTTCAGTTCTTATGAGTGTTTGCCTGCTTCCAGAAGAGTGTTGGATCCCTTGGAGTTGTGGATGGCTGTGAGCTACCGTGTGGGTGCAGGGACTCAAATTCAGATCCTCTGCAAGAGCAGCTGGAGCTCTTAACTTTTGACTCTTCTCTCCAGAGCAACTCCCACCTTTTTTTTTTTTTTTTTTTAAGACACTGTCTGTATAGACCAGGCTGGCCTTGAACTTGCAGAGATGCATCACCCCATCCAGCTTCCAGGGGCTTTCATTACTGATTTATATGTATACTTTGAGAAGCAAGTGTGAAAGCATTTGTTCTAGAGGCAAGGCACTGGCATTTCAATTACACTCTGTCTGTGTGTGGCAGGACACCTTGTTATTTTAAGACCAATGATGGGAAGGACCTCTTTGAACACTTTGAAGGCCATTGTTGGTAAGGTAGAAATATTCTTCTGGTGCCATCTAGTGGTCAAGTGCCACAACATCTGGAGCCCAAACCAGAGTGGTCCTAGAGGAAAAAGAGCCCAGCTGTTTGTACTGCTAGGATCAGCACTGGGGTGGGGGCCCAGACACAGGCTTTTCATGGGCATATGCAGCTACAGGATCAGCTTGAAGAACACTATACCATGAGCCTAGGCTTGGCTGGTGGGGTAGCAGTGGCAAGGACGGGAAGGCACAGGGAGGCGGAGCAAGAGGGTTAGCCAGTGTGAGGGCTTCACCGCCCTTTGAGGGCACCTGCCAGACTCACAGGCCTTCCACTAGGCACAATTTTTGAAGTTAAAGACAATCCTTGTGTGTATGTGTATGTGATGTGGGTGCACATCTCAGTGCATGCACAAAAAGCCACAGTGTGCCTGTGGAGGTCGGAGGACAGCTTTGGAGAATGTGGTTCAGCGACAGATCTGTCTGGGTTTGTGAAGTGTGCACTTTTACCTAGTTAGTCAAAGGGGCTGCTCTCTGTTGGAGCCCAGTCGCTGTCCACCCCTCACCCTACCCACTTCCACATCCCTCAAGGTTTTCTTTTCTTATTCTTTATTTGAGACACTCTGTAGCCCTGGCTATCCTGGAGCTCACTATGTAGACCAGGCTGACTGCAAATTCACAAAGATATGTCTGCATGCACACTATTCCTGGCTCTTCAAGGTTTTCATTTCTGGGAAGTTGAGAGCAATTTCTGTAAGAACCTGGGGCTCCTGACAGTGACCTGGAAACTAAAGGCCCTCCAAGGACCTTTCTGGAACTCTTCCCAGCACCCAAATCTGGGTTTGGGATAGTTTCTTGGATTCATGTGAATTTCCAAATGCCTATTCCTGAGAACTGGGACCAGGACTCACATTAAAGTAAGAAGTTAAAAATGAGGAAATCCAAGCAGCGGGTTGGCTATCAGCCCTCTGTTTCATTCCTCCTCTTGTTTATACAGCTTTAGGGGCTGGGGGGGGATAGGCCAGGTGGTAGTGCTTGCTGCACAAACATGAGGTTCCATGCTTCGTGCTCAGTGCTCAGAGAAAAGATATGCTTGTAACAGGCATGCTTGAACCTCGGCACTGACAAGGTGGGGACAGGAAGACCCCTGGGATTTACCAGTCAGCATAGTCTCATCATTGAAACCTAGGTCCTGGTGAAAAATGCTGTCTTAAAAAACAAGGCAAATGGCTCTTGAGGAAAGATACCAGAGCTTCCCAATTCTGCTAGACCAGCAAGCCCTAAGGGTCATTTTTTTCTCTGCTTTCCTAACCTTGGGATTGCAAGCATGCTACCAAGCCCAGCTTTCTACACAGATGCCTCTAACTCCAACTTCTAGTTGGTTTTCAGTGAGCCTGTGTTTAGGGTGTGTGTGTACCCATGTGTTCATTTGCAGAGGCTAGAGGACATACATATACATATAGGTCTCTCTCTCTCTCTCTCTCTCTCTCTCTCTCTCTCACACACACACACACACACACACAAAGCTAAAATTGATTGAAAAAATATGACGGTCTTACCAATTCAGCTAGATGATGGCCAGAAAGCTTCATGGGTCTGCTTGTCCCTGTCTCCTCTGTACTGAGGTTACATGTGTTTACTATATTTGGCTTTTACATGGGTTCTGGAATATACAAACTCAGGCCATCATACTTACATGGCCAGAAGCACTTTGCCCATTGACCCATCTTCATAGCCCTTATTATGTTTGAGAAGATAATGCCTAGGTAGAGCTACAGAGAAAAAAAGCTGAGAGGAAATGTATGTTGGTGCTCACGGCCCCAAGTCTTTAGGCAATTATCCAGGGATGGATGCTGAATACTATTTTGGGGGGGGGGGTTCAAGGCAGGGTTTCTTTGTGGTTTTTTAGTATGTCCTGGGACCAACTCCCCGCTCTATTTTTGTTCTTCAGTATACAAATGTTTTTTTCTTTGATGTGGACAGGGGACTGGTTATCAACAGATTTAAGAATACAGGAAAGCTGGACTGGAAAGAGGAGGAAGAGGCATATCTAACAAATTTCAAAGAACTATGATAAAAAATAAACCCGAGGCTGGGGAGATGGTTCAGTGGTTAAGAATGCTTGCTGCTCTTCAGAAGGGCCCCCAAGGTCACTTCCCAGCATCCACACTGGGTGGTTCACAACCCAAGTTCCTGGGGACCCAACATCCTCTTATGACTGCTGCAGCTGCCTGTACTCACAGCCCCGGCACAGCATTAACCAGGCATGGTGGCTCACACATGCTTGTAGAGACAAGAGGACTGAATAGGATCTTTAAGGGCACTCTCAGCTACACAGACCAGCCGTACCCTCATTAGTGACCTCTGGCCCCACTAAGGAAAGCACAGTGGTGGAGTGACTTGGATCTCTTCTGCAGCTTGTCCCTTCCCTGGGAGTGACTGTATCTAGTAAGAGGAAATGCTTCTGAGACAACTTCAAGACCAGGCCAGCCTTATCACTTGGAGGGACAGCAGCCTGGGGTTGAGAGCCTAGCAAGCTCATGACACACATTGCTTGGGAAATTGTGGGAGTAGCCAATTGGTTGACAGGTTTGTGATCCAGGCTTGTAATAAGTGAAAGTTTGTTCTCACAGTGCATGCTCTGAGTGTGGGCTCCCACTGAGAGAGAGCGCCCCATACTCAATGAATTTAGAAGCCTTCTCTTTGGAGTGAACCTTCTGGTGTTTGGTAAGACAGTGATTTTGGTGGTGACATTTGTAGGGCTTCTCTCCGGCCAGGCCAGTGGATGCTGGAAGCGGAGGTGAGGTACAGGTGCCTGAGCTGGTTGAAGGCCTTGCTGCACTCTCTGCGGTGTTCAGCCTCTCCCGGTGTGCACTCTGCAGTGCTGAGCAGTGAGCTGCAGCTGAAGTTGCGATGATGCACGTTGAGAGATGAGTGGCAGCTGAAGGCCTTGCCACACTCACCACAGAAAAAGGGCTTCTCGCTGGTGTGACTGTGCTGGGGCTTTGCAGCCTGTCCTTAGTTACAATACATATCTTAGGTGGAATGTTTCATTTTTCCAGGGCTAAATGTTACAAAGGTAAAACCTTGAAAGGGAATCTGGGAATGGCTTAGTTGCTTAGGAGCACTGGCTGTGCTTTCAGAGGGCTTGAATTCAGTTGCCAGCACCCATGTTGGGTGGCTCACAACTGACAGTAACTCCAGCTCTTAAGGAATCAGAGGGCCTCTCTGGCCTCCATGTATCCCCCCATACACATAAATATAAATAAATTATTTTTCTAAAAAAAGATTTATTATGTATATAGGATTCTGCCTGCATGTATTCCTGCAGGCCAGAAGAGCCATCTTTCCAGTCCCCACATAAATCCTTTAAAAAAAAGAATACCTTGAATGGCCCGGAGAGGTGGCACATGTTTTTGATCACAGTACTTTTGTGAGTTTGAGGCCAGCCTGGTCTCAAAAACTCAAACCAAACTGAACAAAACCTTGAATATGTGGTACAAAGAATGCAACAACTTTATTGAAAATTTATCACTGCAGGAAAATTCAACTCCAGGCTAAAAATGATTATTCTGAGGAAGGAAACAACGTTTCAGCAAATTCTGTGCCCCAAGGTGATAGGAGTTGTTCTTCTGTATATATGTTTCTTTTATTGGTTGATGAATAAAACACTGATTAGCCAAGCAGAAGTATAGGCAGGGCTAGGAGAGGAGGAGAATTCTGGGAAATGTAGGCAGACAAAGTCGCCATGTGAGCCACCAGAGTAACAGGTTCAGACCCTTCTCTGGTAAGATAAACCACATGGAAATACATAGGTTAACAGAAATGGGTTGATAATTAAGACAGAGCTAGCCAAGAAGAAGCCTGATCCACCAGCCAACACTTTTGTAACTAATATAACGTCTGTGTGTTTATTTGGGGCTGAGGAGGAGGTGGGATTCTTCTGGGCCAGAAAACTCATCAGCACCAAGACACTCCCAACCTGGGGCTTGCTGGACAGAGAGGCAATGCTTCTTGGTGAGCTCCGGGCCAATGAGGCATTCTGTATCAAAACACAATGTGAACTGCTCGTGAGGAAGGTCCCCCAAGGTTGTCCTCTGGCCTCCATACACATGCACACCCATGTGTATCTTCATGTACACCCACAGGATCCCCAAAAGGGGAGATCTCCAGGTAGACCAGATAACTTGAATCATGAGTGAGATAGTGTCAAAGGTAGAAGCCCTCAAAAGGGAGGGCACAGTGAGCGGGGTAGCACAGGCCTGTGATCCAAGCTGCTTGGGAGGAGGCGACAGAAGAACAGCAAGACTGAGATGAACCTGGGCAACTTAGTGAGATCCTTTGCTAAAATAAAAAAGGTAGTAGAATGAGGCCCTGAGCTAAGCTTCAGTAGTGTGTGAGTTTCCATGTGCATTCTCTAGGGGGAGGTTGATTTTGATTGGTGGATTGAATCATTCCCAGATGCAACAAGTTGTTAATACATCTGTATAAGAAGTAGACTACTACATTGAGGTAGCCCCCCCCACATATACACACATATACGCAGGCATTTCTTATATAAACAATTTGGTAAACCCT